TTTTCATTAAACTGTTATGATGGAAAATACAATTTAGTTGAGAGACGGTCTCAGGTCAAGACATACACTGTTATAAATTCTTCTCAGTAAAATATTTCTTAAAATATGCGACAAAATTTCGCATTAAATTATTCTGATGAAATAGACGATTTTGCTGAAAGGATTTCTGAGTTTATAGCATGTCCAGCAAAATAGTTTACAATGGTGTTTTGCATCCCTCAGAATACAATTTTTCTTCAAATATATTTAAAGCTTTTGAAATGACCAAATATAACGGAGTAGACAATTTAGCTGAGAAGTTCTGTAACATCATAGAAAACAATGAAAAATAATTTGCGTGCTGAATAATGAGTCGATGAATTTCTAGTAAGTATTTTTCTTTTCATTAAAGATACTGGAAACCGTTTCATCAATTTAATACTTCCTGGAAAATCAAAAAAGATCAATCATGATTTGCTATTTTAAATTATTCGAAACAGATCAACCCAAGCATTCATAGCTGTCTGTTGCATTGTTTTTTAACATCTTTCACTATTACTCAACAACGAAATATTATATTCATCTAAATTCTCGAGCTTTAAGTCAAATTTTACTCATTTTATGAGGAAGTGGACAGATTCGATTATATCTGAAATTTAACTCTGAAGGAGGTTTTTTTTTCAACTCGAAGTAAAGATATTAAGTAGCATGTAAAAAAATATATATAACATGAACCTTAATGAAAACAAAGTAAAAAAAAACAACGACGCGGAATCGTGGCTCCATCGGGATTTGCCGTAGCAAAGGCGGAAAAAAAGTTTTGTGTCTGTTCATTAAGCCAACTATTGTCGAGTTGCATTTTTTCACACAGAGAAAAAAACATGAAGTTGTTATTGATGGATATAAGAAAGAAGACCATTGAAAAGAAAAGAATGAGAGATCAATTTAAAATGCACGCCATCAACAATAAAAAAAATAAAAATAAACATCGTCAAACGAAAGAAAAAACAGAAATAAAAATCTAAAATATCCTTGAATAAAGGAAATATTAACGGCCATATTTAAAGAAGGAAAACAATGTAGTTTATAAATAAAATATTAAGACAAACCAACAAGTAATAAGCGCGTAATCGTAAATAATATAATCACCTTATTCTGCCGGTAACTTTTACATTTATTTTAGTTATATTATATTTATTTAGTTATATCAAAATATAAAATGACTAATGTGTCGTGACGCTTGGATTATTTCCTGAAAACTGATAATCCCTTTTGATTATTTGCTAAGCATTTATATAGCAAAAACATTATATATATATATATATATATATATATATATATATATATATATATATATATATATATATATAAGAAAGAGGTTGTAGTGGTTCCAACGAAGTATGTATATTAAAAAGAAGAGAAGAGAGGTGCCGCAAATGTTTTTGATTGTAATGTGAATTTAAAAAAAAATATATTATGCTTTATTTTCCATAATTTTACTACACGTGTTTCTAGTCTCGCGACCGTCTTCAGCTAAAAAGAGAAAATCAACATATATAATTGCTATGCAACGATAAATTCGTGCATATGAAACGCAGATTTATCGTTGTATAGCAATCTTCCATGAAAACAAACTATCACTGATGCAAAAATTACCATGTTTAATCTCCGATGATGGTTTATGTAAGCCGAAAGCTTACAAAGGATTAAGAATAAAACATGTATCAACATGGTTATTTTCTTTCGTCTTTCAATGATAATGTTATTAAGCTTATCAGACGTTAGGAAAGGATTTTGCTTAAAATAAAAAGACAAAAACTTGTCTATATTATGTAATGAAACATGTATTAATGAAAAATGCTGCCTAAATACACACACAATATATATATATATATATATATATATATATATATATATATATATAATAACTTCCTACTGTCGTTAATGCTTAGATTAATTCCATAAATTCGATTTAAAATTAATATACAATGATTTCTCTAATAGAATTATTTGTCAAGAAATATATAACTAAAAAATCCTTAATGCCAATTTTACATCTACTAACAAGATTTCCCCTCAGTAACATTTGTATTTCTTCCTGGATATTGATATTTTGTCTGGTTTTTCATGCAATTTTATACATTTTATAGTAATCTTCTACTGTGCTGAAATTATGAATTAAATTTGATCATAGGCATCTATCAAAAGGATAAAAAATATATATATATATATATATATATATATATATATATATATATATAATTATTTATCCGAAAATTATAACCTAAGCATGTTATAAAATCACTACAAAAATAGCCATTTTGTTTCAACACTTCTGGTGTCTTATCAAGTGATGGTGTTGAATGTAGAATAAAGGGTTTTAAAACGTTCAAATCAATCAAACATCCCTCGCTAGGGGAAACGCTGTTACATAAGCTGGAATGACCAATCAAAATACAATTATATGAGAAGTCAAAAAACTTGACAACGGACATTAAGTTATAATAATTATTTAATGCTTTAATGTGGGGGTTAGACTAAAGTAAAATTCATTCTAACTAATAAATATTAAATTATTCTGTAAAATTTAAATTTAAAAATTACCAATTTTAAATTTAGTCTATATTAAGTTTAAAATTAAAAAGTTATTTAAAGAAGAAACCGAGGAGAAAAATACATGTTTTTCTATTTATTTTGATTTTATTGAAATTAATTTGGAATAAACATTAAGATCCAATGCTGCTCTGAACTTCATGACAAAGTAGATACATTTGAAGCAAAAACATGGGCAGGAGAGGATGAAACAGGCCGATGCCAACCAAAATAAGATTATGGTTTCACCTGGTATTTCCGAGATGGAGTAAATATATCGATGCCAGGAAGAAAACTCTGTGGCACAGTTCTCAATAGGAAGGTTAAGAATTTCATTCCAAGGGGCATCTTGAGAAAAGTCGCGAAATGAGTCCAAATCGTTACGCTGGTAGCAGAAAGAAACCTAATGAATATGAGGTCTTTTCTAATGAACGGCGCAAATGAAATATCAAGAGGAACTAATGCGTGTTCATAAAAGATTGCTATGCAACGATAAATTCGTGCATATGAAACGCAGATTTATCGTTGATTAGCAACCTTCCATTCAAACAAACAAATTATCATTGCTGCAAAAATTACCATCTTTAATCTCCGATGATACCTTATGTAAGCCGAAAGCTTAGAAAGGATTAAGAATAAATGAAATATCAAGAGAACTACTGCGTGTTCAGGGTTTCCAAGAGTACAGTGTTAAGATAACTGATAAGTGCTAGGAGAGGAGGTAAGGAACAAATCGAATAAAGAAGCATGTTGATAAGATTTATTAGGAAACGAGTGGAGAAATCTACTATTTGACTAAGAGACTGAGCAAAGGAAAAATTGAAAGTTTAAATACCGGGCTGCATCAATAACATTAAAATGCTTAGGCCCCTTGATTTGATGTGCATTACAATTGCCAAACACAAAAATGTTCGCAGAAGGATGCAGAGAGAGAGAGAGAGAGACATTTTTATACTGGCAAAAATTTTGTCTAATATATTACAGTCCAGCGAAAAAGGATAGCAACAAAGGAAAAAGAGATAACTACCAGAGTACAATAAAGAAAGTCGAAAAGACATGAAATAATCATCAGGTGACTCAAGAGGCAATTCCTTTTCCATTGAAAGATTTTTCCGGATAACTGAGACCATGCATATTTATGCTAGAGTCTTTTCAGCAAAGAGAACGGTAGATCGAAACAGAGAATTCATTGCTACGAAATTAAAAATTTAAATTAGTTTTGCAAAGTGCCAAAATGTTGGGAAATTCTACACTATAGAAAATTCTCCTTGATTTGTAACCAACCTAGAACAAAAAATGTGCTATTTACCCCATAGCTGATAGAAAAAGAGATGGGTTTATACCTCACCAAAGGGCAATATTACGAAGTGAACGCAACAGCCCCAACATTTGAACTCACCCCACAGATTACATATTCAATATTTTAACTATTATAGAACCCACACATCCATGGGTCGTCCTGGTGACGACGATAAACTACATCCGCGTCCAGGGTAAGACGATAAACTACGTCCAAGAGCAAAGCTTCTGATCAGGAAGTTTTGAGAAGCATGGAACCACCTCTTAATTGCTGGTGTTCCCAGGTCCACCCTGACCCGGTTTGGAAGCACCTGTTGGGGCCCCAGTTATGAGCAAATAGTTAACCCCGAAACTGTGGTAAAAATATTATGAAAGTGTAAAAAATAGGTTTTAATACCTGAAATACTTTGTAAAAAATTATTACCAGCTATACATTTTGGAAAAAAATATATTACCAACAATATATTTTTGAAAATATTACCAGTTATACATTTTTGAAGAAAAAAATATTACTAACATTAACTAACCTATTGAGGTTGATATGCCGTAAAACAAACCAAACCAAATCATCCATGGAGAGTAATAAAGATATTTTAATGGTTAGACATTACTTTCGAACATTCGCGATTAGTTCATTTAGTTTGTAAGTAAAAAAGTGGTTGATCAAAGGCATTCACAAACGATAAAGATTTGAAAAACTAAGGGAATTCGCAGAAAATGAAACAATCTGAAATGGTTTAAGTTCATATGTAGCAGTGATAATTGGTCATCAAATGGCACGTCGAGTCTTAGAAAGTGGTCACAAACTGACAATTGATGTCTGGTGGCAAAAAACAAAAACGCCTTTATCAAATCAAAAATCAGAATAATTTATTTCTGAACTCAAGTTTGAGAACTACTAACAAAAGTACGTGTTTAGTTATGAGCAATTTCCTTGCTTTTGTTGTTTTCTTATGTTTTTTTCACCCTTTCTACACATTAATTCTTTAAATCCTTAAATACAGAAGCGTATCAAGTTTATATTACTTCACCCAAACGACGTAAAAATTCGTTTTACAGAAAAAAAAGGCAACAAACGGTAATCTTTATTCATTTTCCATTAATACGTTTCATGTCTCACTTATGATAAGACGTGACGCGTTCTTTTGTGCGTAATCTGTCTATCTATCTCAGTCTGTTCATTATCTATCTATCTCAGTCTATTTCTATCTATCTATCTATCTATCTATCTGTCTGTCTGTCTGTCTATCTATCTATTTTACGCATTCCTATCACCGGTTCGATATAAAACTCCACCATCTTACGGTTAAAGTATCATTCGACATCCTGTACTTCATTATCTAAACTATAAGAACTTATATATATATATCTCCAACAACATTCAGCCATATTAATATCACTTTCGGTTCAACAGAGATTTTTTAAAAAATCCGCGTATGTTCATGATAAATCATTTACACTAAATTCTATTTATATTGGTATTGTCTATTCTAATATAACTGATATGTTTTTTTAATCGATTTCACCCCAAACAAGGCAATAAAGCCACTAAGACTCAAGGGGTTAGAGGTGTGGTAGAATTAGGAACAGAAACATTAATAATTTGTGGGAAGAGGAACAAGTAATCAGAAGGACAGTAGATAGTGATTGACATTTGATTTAAATTTTTGCAGATTAAAGTTGGCTGGAAAGCATGGAGATGGAAGGGAGTTCCACAAGGGAAAAGTGCGAGAAAAGAATCTGTTAGCATAGAATTTACGGTTACATTTAACCAGCTCAGCTGTCACTTAAATTCGAAAAGTCTAGGTAACGACAACGAAGAGCTTATCTGAATAATTACCATGAAAATATTTATAGAAAAGACACAGAGAAGCAGCAAGCTTACGGCGACGGGAATGTAACTGAAGCCGAACTACCAGATCAGGACCTATAATATTGCTGATTCCTCCTTGGATTTTATCAAGGAGCTCGAGATAAATAACAGGAGCACCGGACCATATGTGACAGCAATATTCTAATCATGGACGAATGGTAGACTTAAAGATATGTATGATTGTTGTGACCAAGTAATTGGTTAAGAAATAACAAAACAAGAGGTTGCAGATAAATAGTGTATTGAGCAGTAAATACAACAGAAGTGTGGAAAGTGTGTGTCGGTTGACCAGCGTTCAGTCTATATCACTGTTATATTCAGAGCTCCCTTCCACGAGGGCACATGTGGCACAAGGCCGAGTTTAACGTGGGTCATCCGAGCCCGTAGGCTCGACTAAAAAGTCCCCGTAGAACCCGCATAAACGGGTTCGGTCTGTCTACATCCCTGAACGAAACTCTGCCCTACGACACAGGCTCGTCCGGGTTCCTCTCTGCCCAAAGCAGAGAGTTCGACAGGAGCTGCGAAGAGTCACAGCCTCAGTAGAACAGTCAATATAACAGCTCCCCCGAGGCTTACTTTATAGTAAGTGGAAGAATCCACAATAGCCTCATTAGAGGGAGGACGCCACATCAATGATAGATCTTGGAGAGAAAAATTCTCTCGCACGTCACAGTGAACCTGCTTTCTAAGTAGTTGGTCTAGCAATGGATTCAAGTTTTATTCCTTATGTATTTAATGCAATATTCGTATTTAATCCTTACTTTCTTCAACCCACGCTGGAGCAACTAACTTCAGCATAGACTAGAAAAGGAAAATGGCGTCCACCTAGAAGGCGTCATCTCTGTATGTCATGTTGGTATTCCTAAGTTTCACAAATGAGCAATGTTGATGCTTATATTACCAACTTTTATAAAATCCATACTTAAAGAATCTAAGATCAGACTACCTACAACCACAAGCGGTGTAACTTAAATTCTTTCCCTCCCACACAAAACACCCCCCAATCAACATACAAACAGTACCAGACAGAAATGAAAATGTCAGCATAGACCAGCGGTCCGAGTAAAAACACCCGGGTCCCTACGTTAAAAACTGACCTTGGGTCACAACCTGACTCAGTTTGGATTCAAGTAAATACTTACCTGCCACAGAGTTCCGTCCCTGTTCTGGTGGAATCACGGCTATGACTAGGTTTAACTGGCTCTGACAAGCTTGGACCAGCTATCACCAGCTTATACCAGTGGCCCGAGTCAAAACACTCTGGTACTCACGTTAAAAACCGACCTTGTGTCACAACCTGACCCAGTGGGGATCAATTAAATCTCACTTACTGGTCACAGGGCTCCGTCTCTGTGCTGGTGGTATCACGGCTATGACTGGCTTGTAACGGCTCTGACCAGTTTGGACAAGCTATGGCTAGCCAAGACCAGTTATGACTAGCTTAGTCCAGCTATGACTAGCTTAGACCAGCTATGACTAGCTTGGACCAGCTATGTCCAGCTTGGACAAGCTATGACCAGCATAGACCAGCTTAGACCAGCGACCGGAGTGAAAACACTCGGGCCCCCACGTTAAAAACTGACCTTGTGTCACAACCTGATTCAGTGCAGAGTCAAGTAAATCTCAATTCCTCCTTGGAGGGATTTGTAACGCGTGGCTTATCATCTCTCAGTTCCGTCTCTGTCTTTGGGAAGAGTGCGCTCAGGGGCTTCTCTGTCAAAGTACAGAGGGGCAACTGAGAAAATTATACTGAGAGGTGCCCAGCCCTGGGGAACAGCTGTCCGAGGCTGCGCCCTCTCATTGCACCAGAGAGAGAGAGAGAGAGAGAGAGAGAGATCGTTGCTCGCACCTAGGCCAGAGCAACCGACGGTTGCAGGTGTTCGGTGAAATTTTGTCCCTAGCCCGGGTATACATGCTCGGGCTCCGCACATTAAACCGTCATTGTGTCACAACGCGACTTCGTCGGGTGGGGGGTGAGGTTCGAGTAAATATCAAATTACTATAAAGTAGAGCTGGGTGGTTTTAATCTCAGAATTCGTGGGAGAATTGGGCTCCAATTTCGCATTTATATATATATATAAATCCCATAATATAGGTTTTACGTAATTAGCTATTATGTTTCTTTAACTTTTCAAATGTTGAATGTATAACTAATTCTAATTTCTATTTTCCCATCTTTACACTACATTAATTTTATATTATAAATTGTTCCTTGTTCTGTTACCCATGAAATAAAAATAATTGTTTTTAAAGAAAGATAAGGATCCACGTAAATCAAATCGTCTTTAAATTAAGTGACAGCAGAAGAATTATCTTTTAAAAGGTAAGCTTAAACATTAATTCAATACTTAAATGCAGCGATCAATTTTGAGTTCTTCTGTAGTTTATTCATGCCTATCGCATCTGCTCCTCCCTAGCTATTGTGATAATGGCCAAACCAAGAGTCCTCCACAGGAGCTAATTTAAATGCTGCCGATAAGGCGGTTTTTCAGCTAGTTTATAATAAAAAGCTAGTTTTAATAAAATTAAAAATAATAAAAGCAATTTTGGATACAAAAGGAAAATAAGAATCAGTCACTTTGAATCATGAAAGCAACGATAATTGCTAGTATAATGTATTAATAAATATTTTAAACCTCGCATGATCTAGCAACCCTGTATCTGAGCTCAATGAAAATCGTTCTCTGCACCTGGCTTTTCTAGAGTTTTTGAATGAGCTATGAATCATTGAAATCGGATCAGTGGAAGCGGAGGAGTTCCTTGGACACACACACACATATATATATATATATACACTGTATTTTATATATAAGATTTTTTTATATATTCTGCTGTACATATCCGTTTATTTGAACATAAACATTTTTAAACACATATCCAAAAAACCTTCTATTTCCATCAACATTTTACAAACTCCGATGCAGAACTTAAAGCAAACAGGTTAAAATGTCTGAAGTGTAGGAAATTATGAATGGTTAGATATGGAAATTATCTTATAATCTTTCTGCAAAGGAAGATTTGTTTCAGATTTCAATGAAACCTGGATAACCTCCAGGATAATGGGAAATACATAACGAATCTTCCTACACGATTTCTGTTTGGCTTTTTACTCTACTGAGCTATTCATTGATGATAATGCATAAGTTGATGAATTCAGTAAAAGATTTTTTATTTTTAATCAAAATTAAAAATCCAGTTCAACCCTTGTAGAGCGAAAAGTAAATATTTCTATCGTTTAAACTGGAAGCATAAGAAAAATAGGAGAGAATGCAGAAGAAAAAGAAAGATAAATGAAGAGTTAAGGGAGGGGGCAAAGCAATCAGTATTTTTCCTGGGTTTTAAATCCTAATTCCGTTTCATTGGGCCTCTTTATCATTTATCTTGTTGATTTCTTTCATTCATTGTTGTTGCAACGACGAAATGAATCTTATATTTAATTTCCCTCTTTCTCGAAAATAAGATCGAACTTGATTAATGGGTTTATTTTCTTACGCTTCTTTAACAACGAAAATCCATTTTCATCACTGGACGCCGATCTTAATTAAGCTAAGAATTTGGTTTGAAAACTCCGAGACAAAATTCAGTGCAAACTGGATCTAAATTACTTTGGAACCATTCCATTTGTATGCTTTAAAAAGCGTAATTAGTGCTTTTCGTGGGATTTTATATTGCATAGTTCAAAATCAGTTAGGACTAAGAAGTGTTTGTAAACTGATTATAATAAATCACAAGGCTGTGACTATGACGTACTGATGAGGGTTGATGAACATATAGTAGTAATAGATAGAGTAATTTAATCTGACACAAGGCAAAACGTGTGAGGCACTCAAGATCGAACTCATGCCTTCAACTTTGCTTTACAGTGAAATACTCTGAAATCTATGTATTCCCTTCGTCTATATTCAACTCTAACTCAAAAGAGTGGAGAACCCAATACAGAAGACGATTATTTGTCTTTGGTAGAGATAGGTCACGTGACGGTCGCTTAGTGACGTCACTTCATACAGTGGCGTAAATGGCCAGTCGTTCAATTTGTTTACAGCAGCCGAACCGAACCGTCGCTCTTTTTAACCTAAGCCCATGCTGAGGCTAAATCGGCTACCTCCAGCAAACGCCACAGCAAACGCCACAGCAAACGTCACAGTTTCCAAGTCCCTGCTGCTGCTTCTTTTTGGGAATATAACTTCCCGACATATAGAGATATACTCCGGCCCACAGTCTTCAATTTGGGGAAATCCAAGACTTGCCGTTACCCCTTCGTGGAATATGTCCTCGTCTGGGACATAGTAGATGAATCCGGTCCTTTTGAATCGGGAGACCTAAACATGGCACTTCCTTTTCGTTTATCCTTACACTCTATTTGATCTTTTTAGATATATGATATCTTGTTCTCTGTCTGTGACATGTAAATATGT